GTGGATTCCAGCTGCAGGCTGGCGGGCAGTGCCGCATGCCATTCGCGCAACTCCATCGCTAGGGGTTTTGCTAGACTCATCGCACCTGACGGTCCAATCCGCTCAAGTCGTCCGCCCTTTTTGGTTGCACCGATGGAGCAAAATGTGGCCACAATGCGACTGAAGATCTTGGTCAATTCAATAGATTGCAGGAATGCTGCCCGACCCGCGGCTCCGTCCACACCTCCGTCCCCATTTTCCTCTTCAGCGGTTGCTTCTGGGAAGTCATTCAATGTACACGGGCCAACGTGCCAGTCGCTCGTCCCCTCGTCATCGTCAATCTGAGCAGGAATGAGAGACGGTCGCCCATGCACAAGAACGCCCCACTTGTCCTGCATGTATAGCGCCCAAGCTAAACGTCGTCGTAGACCTTTCTCCCATTCTGGGATTTTCCAACCAGTACAGTCGATATGAATTCCCAAAGTGTGCCCAAGCGATAGCAGTTGAGCCGGAAGAGTGCCATGGGAAGACCTCATTCTTTGCAATAACAACAGGCCAGCCTGTAACGTGGAGAGCTTGGGCCGCTTCAGGTCGTCAGCCATGGCTTGCATTGCTAGATCTTCTAGAGCTTCAGCATCTGGTGTCCGAGGTGCAGTAGCGAGAGTTCGATCAAAGAGCTTCCAGTCCAGCGCGACAAGGTAAACGGCAGCGAGTAATGGTGGTGAGAACTCGCGGTAGGACCGGGCATATTTCTCCAGGAACACGCCTTGGTCCAAGATCGGGAATGTGCGGTGCATGATGCGAAAATAAAGATTTACCAAGGTTGGTCCCAGCGGACGTATCGATTCCTCGATACGATCTAGGTCGGCGATGCGTTGCATCTCAGAAGCCGAGTCCTTATCAGGGTAGGTCATGAATGCGGCAGATTGATTCACACGCCGCGGATAACATCTTTCATGGCCAGAGAGTGACACAGCTGATGGCCGCAGATCAAGAAGTTCAGGTTCGTGATAGCTGGCGGGGCCGATATACTCGGAATGTAGATGAAGCTCTAGACCTAATGTACCATCCAATCGTGAATTGGTTGGATCAGCCATAGTCTGTTCTTCGACAGACCCAACAGTGGATGGCGTTAGAGACTTGCAGTGTCTTTTTATCCTTTGATTGGAGTCAGTTCAGAATGGTCCCGGGTATTGCGTTTCTATTGAAACGTACTTGGTTTCTTTTTCTGTTGTGCTCGGCGACTTCCTGGCCCTTTTCCGCGGTCGGGGACCATGAAGAAATGTGCATTCCAGACCATTCAAGTTACAAAATGTGCAGTTGTCTTTCTCGGGCTCTCGTATACATCGCGACTTGCGATGGCGGCAACGATCGCATGGGCGTCGCGTGGGGTGATCCACTCCAGTCGCGGACATTGGATGCAAATCAACTCTTATGTTCTTTGGATACAGATATCTTGGATATGAGATTATCTACTCATCTATTTGGGTCATCGAGATCGGGTGACAATCTATGTAGCTCATTTAGCTCATTGGGTGAGACACAACGTTGACTGGCGATGTTCCAGGGTGGCATTGACCATTTGGTTGAAAACAAGTCTCACGTGACTAACTACAACTACATTCACAACATTGAATTATTTTGAATTCTATCGAGTCAATATGATGATATCGTCGCAAATGATTGAGAAGGGGTCATCTACACGGACAATTGAAAAAAAATAAAAAAATAAAAAAATAAACAGTGGAATTGTGTGAGCCGTGACAATATTCACGAAGAGATTGCCCCCAGCCCCAATGCAGACAGAGTACGAGAGAGTCCTGAAAATGCATACGTCTTATGTTTACGACTGCGCTATGGCCGAAAACCGTTGATATACAACATATGCAAGGTTGGTGTAAATCAGGAACCGAGCTGGAAATAATTACTTCGTAATCTACTTCGTACTTTGTACACGCGGTCTCTATTTCCCGAATTTCCCGAATCCACCGTTCATTTCAAGTATCCACTTAGGTCCTCCCCCGAGGGTCTTACAGATAACCAACCGTGCTGAACGGGTGTAGAATAATAGTGTTATAGGTAGATGGGCGGTTAAGAGGCAGCTCGACGTCCAAGTCTACTAGTCCTAGGTGGAAAGGCCGGTTCTAGCCCCCAAAGCGATCATTCTGTCAATTTCACATGTTCTCAGATTCTACTCCGTATGTTGTACTAGTAAATCACTCCACCACGCTATGATGAATCACTCAACTACGCTATGATGTGTATCAGTCTAGACACGGGTCGAGAGATTTACATCACCAAAAACATGTGTTCTCAGCCCATCTCTCTAAACGAGATAGAGATATCCAACAGTCAAAATGCTCCTTATCTTTGAAACACCCATGTACATATGATCCCTGCAAGTACTCCATACGGAGTAATCAGAATCGAGAACCGTGTCCGCCTCGCTGGCACGAAGTCGAAAGTTAGCGAGTTTACCAGCCGCTCGGATGGAGAATTTGAGCGTTTGAGTTTGAAATCCCAGCCTGGTGGCTGCATGGAATTTATTCATTGGAGGGCCCATGGTCAGACGGTCCTGCAGGGAAGATGTAGAGAAGCAATATAGAAAAAGGGAGGGGAAACTCTCCTCTAGCCAATAAGACATTGCTTAAGCGTGCTTGATCTGACTGCATTGCGTTGTTAACCCTGTTGACCCCTCGATGCATCACTCTCATCATAAGAGGGGGTTGGTTGTGGCTTTCATTTCCCACTTTGCGTGCTATGATTTCAGGCTTGCCAAAGCCTTGTGCCGTTGAGAAGCGGGCAAAATACGCTCTCTCAGTATCATTATCCGAGGCACCTCGAAGTGATCGGCGTTGTCTCTCGATCTTCGTATAGACCCTAGAGAGAGATCTTCCTCTGGACTATAGAGGGTTGCTGCTCCGAAGGAAAGATAATGGAAGTGCGTAGAACCTTGTTCATCCCCTAATGCAAGCCATAAATATAACTATGCTCCGGTGATATCAACCATGTCCCTGTCCTAAGCGTTTCGAGGCGCATCACTAAGTGTCTGGGAATAGCTTGTTCGGGCCACCCCGCTAAGCCAAAGCTCAAAAGACTTTTACATAATGATAATGAAATTGAGCGCATAATGCAGCTTAATCTAGGGAGTAAAGTGCCGATAAGAAGTGAAGTCTAGTTCGTTGTTGCTGTGGACCTTTAACGGTTACCCCAGAGTTGAATGAGCCAAGTCTATTCTACGCTTGATCAGGATCAAGGTACGCATACGGACTTATAGTACCGAATAGTATACATTAAACGATTTAACCATAGCCATCCGTACGGATACGGACTATATTAAATTTAAACTGACCGCTTCTTTATCCGAAGTTCCCGCGTTCAATAAAAAATAAAAAAGGATAAAGAAGGATAAAAAAAGGATAAAAAAGGACAAAAAAGGACAAAAAAAGACAAAAAAAGAACACTAACAGCCGGAAGGGTCGGCACTAATTCCTCTGCATGAAATTTTATATTTCGGTTTATATTGCTCTTCGGTAAAGTGGATCTTTATAAAAACCGAAAAAAAAAGACCTCGGTTGCCTTTCTCGGGTAACTGGTATATATTCTTCCGTATTGCCACTCAGCGTTGCGCGATTAGCAATTTTAGGATAAATTAGAACATTTGCTAGCGTTGCATCCCGGGATATGTATTGACGCCAGCCTCAGCGCTAAAAAGATATCACTTAGTACCGAAGACATGATTCATGAATTTTTAATTTTCATGTTTTTAGTGCGATCGGCGCTGTCATTGATATGAGTGATATGGATGATATGATATGAAAATGCTTGTCCCGCACCATCCCATACTCGTATTTTGCTTTTAGCTAAGGCTAAGACATAATTGAAACGGGGAATGGGGCAGCGATTCACTTGGTAGATCCAATAGTAATCAACCCAAGGACACGGCTGGAAAACCAACGATAGCTCAAGCCCCGAAGGATAAGACCTAATAAGGTCAAATAAGAACAACCACCTACTAATAGGGGGGGGGCCACTAGGGCATTAAACGGGCAAGATACCCGTTGTTAAGCGGGCCTCAAAGTTACAAGGTCACATCGCTGCGATCTCCAATCCTGATAGCCATTTCATTTGAGACATTGCACATGTTAGCCAATGATTACCCGAGTTATCGTTGTTGGCCTGTTGTCCATCCCCACTTGGATCCTGTTCCTCACCCCCACTTAAGATCATTTTAACAAGGATGCCTACCAAATCATATTATAGTGTCTACAATTTTCAATCTGGACCCTTGTCTCTACATCTTACTTAGGTCGGAAATGTCCGAGCCAGCAAATGTAGCGAAGTAGTTGAATGAGATAGGAAAAGAAAAAGGGAAATCATCTCACGATAAACACGAGCTTCTCAATTAAGAGGAACGCGTCGAGAATCAAACGCCCAAGGACAAATCTAGTATTGATCGTGCCACTCAAACCCCCTCAAGCCCCTCTCCTACGGTTTTCGTCGGGGAAATTGGGAAAATTGGGAAAATTGGGAAAATTGGGAAATTGGGCCCAGGGGAGGGGGAATAGTTAACACGATAGTATCAACCCCCTCTTAAAAAGTATGCACCGACAATCGCTACCTTTCTAGAAGCCTGCGGGATGTTTTCAGATTGGTGGATGCACATTCGATTACCCCAGGTCCGCCATGGTCCGCTAGAATCCGCCATGAACGGGATGTACCTGCGCGGAGTTCGATATCGTCAGTAATCGGTCTCTTGTCGCAATTGGCTAAAGGTCCCACGCTCAGCCTGCTAATCTAGGTGACCCGCTATTATAAGGCTTGGATCTCCCTGATAACCAAATGATCTTCAGGTTTTTGATTTTGGCCTTCTGCTAAGGGTCCAATTGTTGATCATATTAAGCCTTTTTCTTCCTCTAACATTTCTCATCTTTCGTCCATCGGAGACAATAGATGATCCTAAACAGTACACATTACCACACATACCATACTCACAGTAACCATTCACAACAACCAATACAATGACGAGAACCGGCCCTTCAAATAGTCACATCTCGTGGGAAACCAAGAGCATTATTCCAGAGGATGGCAGCAGAATCGACTCGGGCGCGTGCCAAGATACGAGGCCGAAAGGGCGTATTCGACGATCAATGACGGCTTGTAATACTTGTCGCAAGCTCAAGACTCGCTGTGACGTTGATCCCCGTGGTCATGCTTGTCGTCGCTGTTTATCTCTTAGGTTTGTTTGGTCCTTTTATTCATCTGTTTTTACATATACTCGATTTTTGCTTTTTCTTTGGAGTCTCCCGTTTATCTTTATGCTAACTATTCGTATAAAAGACTTGAATGCGAGCTCCCCGAGACAACAGAGCGATTCCAGGACAATGCATCCACCTGGTCGGACGCGACCGCTATACCATCAATCGAGGAACGGCTTGTCTCTCTTGAACGAGGCATGGGGGAGATGATACATCTGATGCGGCAGATGGTGAACCGCTCCCCCAGCATGCCCTGCAGCCCAACCATACAAACTAGAAACAACAGTCTAGACGGAGCATCTTCGAGTGATAGCATGTCCTCATCTTTTTATCCGCTCAAGCCAGCGCAAATAATTCGGGACCTGCAAGCCGAATGTTTCGGCGAGAGAGATCACTTCTCCGATGCCGACATCCTCGGAGACATCGTCACCCAGGGCATCGTAGATTCCAAGCTCTCCGTGAAATTGATTGAACTGTGTGTCTGATTATGTGTTTGCCACTGGACCTCCCTGCTAATCATCTCGCCAGTTTCGTCGAATATTTCGGCCACTGGGTCTCAATAAATCATTCCTCCAGCATTCAACGGTCAAATACACTCCTTTTCAACACTGCGTGTCTTCTGGCTTCGCGATATCTGCCGGGTCTATCACAACACACCGTCCGCGATATATCACTTTGTGTCCAACATGCCGTGGCGAAGGTGTTGTGGAAGCCCCCGCCCATGACAAGCGACATGCTGCAGGCCTTGACACTACTTTGTCTATACTCTACTTCCGTTCATAAAGAAGGACTGATGGATGACTGGTTGCTGAGCGGGATCTCGATCAACCATGCCCTCATCTCCTTTAACTTCCTCAATACCTTGCCAGGAGACAGCTTAAATCCAGACGAGCTACTTGCTCAGTTGCGTCTGTGGAACACACTCTGCGCAACCCAGCTACAGTATGTTCTATCTAATAAAACCGTCAGATATCCGATCTAACACTGACCCAATAGCTCTGCCCTTGCAAACGGCCGCGCCGTCAACATCCAACAACAATACATCAATCAATGCCCCCGCATCCTAGAACACGCAGCCGCCACACCAGAAGACGGAAGAATCGTCGCCGAAATCCAACTATACCGCATCGCTCTCCGCCTTCAACACACCCAGCACCGCATCCAATTCGCAGAAACCGAATACGAAGAACTGGAGCGCTGGAAAATGGAATGGGCCCATCTCCTAAGTACATCAACACCCTCCCCTATACGCCCACTCACCACAAACTAACAATCACACCCCCCCAATAGCCACTAGCGAAGACTCAACTCTCAACCTAAACCTCTGGTTCTGCCAGCTCCTCCTCTACCGAACAGCCGCCCGCCTCCAACCGGACAGCGAGCGCCTCCTCCCAGAAATTTGCGGCACGGCCCGCCTAATAATAACCCAATTCCTCCAAACGCGCTTCACCACCGCACCCGCTCTCATTGACCACGTCTACTTCATTGTCGGCTACGCCGCGCTCACGCTCTGCGACTACACACTCACCGACCCACTAATCAGCCAAGTCCGCGGCTTCCTACTGCACCTCGCCCCGGGCGGCGACAACCTCTCATATCGGATCGCGTGCATTGTCGGCGAAGTGCAGCGGCGGTATTCGGAGACGAGTACCGTTGTCGCTGCGGGGTCGCATTCGTCGTCTCCAGTTGCCGAGGTCAAGGGCGTGCAGATGTTTGGTGCATCGCAACATCATCGTTCTGGCATGGATATCTCCCAGCTCATGTCTAGCGCTGAGGGCTTGGATTCCCTTGTTGAGGGGTATAATTGTCTTGAACAGATGATGCCTGGGTATACGGCTTCGCAGCCTGCGTTTGAGGCGCCGGATTTGTTCCATTCTCCGACGACTGGTACTACTGGTGGAGCTATGCCTATTGGTCTAGTGCCGAGGGCTCTGCATGATTGGTGATGTGAATGCGTCGTTGAGTTTTGGGTTCTAGATTATTGGAGTTGATGCATGATGAGTTGATAATGAGGTTGGATATGTCGGGACTTGGGTGTTGTGTTGTGTTGTGCTTTTCTTCTTCTTTTTCTTCTTCCTTTTTCTGGCGCAGGATCCTAATAGCAAAAAGCACAAATGGAAAGAGTCATGACTTGTTCGATCGGCTTCTTTGTTTCGTGGTTATATCCATCGAAGTAGTTAGATGTTACTTAGATTCAAATAACGTACATATTCAGTTACATGCTTTCCATATCTATTCTCACGTAGCTTCCGAGATTAGATAGTTCATTCTGTCCTAACTCTCCTAATACACCGGGGCATCCTTCATTCAGAATCCCGAATGAACTCTCATCTCTACAATCTAAACCTCAAACTGGCAAAATATGGTCAAAGGTGATAAGTCATTCGAAAGGAAGTAGAAAAACACCAATCGATTCATATATACACTTTCCACTTGTCAACGAAGCAAAGGGAAGAAAGATCTATTTATCAAGAGCCCCCGAGAGAGCAAAGGGGCAGACTAGCCTCGACCCGACCACCAATACCTCGAATCCGAAATCTACGACGAGCAGAGAGTCGAGCCCTCAAGCAAAGAGGTGGGGACCAAAATTCTCGGAGCTCCACCAGCCATAGGAACAGACACCTCCCCACTCTCACCAGCAGTAACGCTGGCGCAGGAGACAACCTCTGTCAACTTCGCACCAGCTGCGAATCCAGTACCAGGAATCGAAACCGAGTACTCTTTACCTCCTGCGCCGAGATTCGTTAGGATGGTAATTGTCTGCCCACCATCATAGCCCTTCCGCATGGCAATGGTGCTGTCGTCTTTGTAGATTGGGTAGTTCTGTGAAGACGGAGTTAGTTTTTTCTGTCCTTCCTTTCTTCATTCACTTGAGACAGAGAGACAAGCACATACCTGGTAAATAGTATAGTTGGTACTCTTTGCAATCGCCTGATTTCTAGCACCATTGGCCGTCGCAATGAGCTTGTACAGCTCGCTGTCCGTGTTGTATCCAGACAGCCACAGAGCCTCACGATTAGCTGGGTCCTCGCCGCCACTATAGTGCTGCTCCTGTCCTGCGTAGACGATAGGAATACCGTCTGCCATGATAGTGAATGTGGCTGCGTTCTTGGCGAGGGCAATGTCGTTGGTGACTCTGGGTTCCCAAGGGAGAGATGTCAGTTTTAGATATACAGAGTGGAATTATGCCCGTTGCTTTTATGGAATTTCCACTTACGAGGCAAAACGTGGGTTATCATGGTTCTCTAGGAAGGTCCCGAGAAGGGTTGAATCTTTGCAGGTCGATTTCACCGTGTTGATCATGTTGTATAGGTCGGTCATGCTTCCCGAGGTCGATTGGAAGGCTTTGAGGAGGGGGTAGTAGCTATTTCAGTTCATTATTTTTAGTTCTCCCTGTGTATCTGGTACATTCCATGTATAAGCTGGATCTCACATTGGGTAGTTAAGCACTCCGTCCATTACCTCCTGGTATGGACAGGTATAATCGACGTCTCCATCAAAGACCTCGCCTACGCAGTAGACGCCCGCGGCCTTGTTGTAACCGGGCCAGAAATCTTTCTGGACATGTTTGACTGTGTCAATGCGGAGGCCGTCGACTATACATTGGTCAGTCTCTAGATATGGCGATATATCTTGCTAAGGGTGAATTTGAGAGAAAAACAACTTACTGGAGTAGTTGGAGACCAAAGATCCAACCCAGTCATACCAAATATCCTGCACCTCTGTGCTCTGTGTATCCAGATCTGGCAGTGAGACCTTATTGTCGCCAAGCCAGCAGTTTTGCGCCATGGTGTCATCGCTGTAATCGGTGATTGGGCAGTAGGAGTGGAAATACTTTGCATCGTTGAAGGGGTTGAATTTGGTGTAGTCTACGTCAGCACCTGCGCCGTCGTAGCCCTTTTTATCCCATACATGTCAGTCTCAACCTGGATTATCGGGGATGATTCGGATGAGTTGACTTACCATGTGGTTTGCTACTACATCGACCATGAGATACATGTCGCGTTTGTGCAAAGCCGCAGCGAGGGCCTTAAGATCGTCTGCAGTTCCGTAGTTTGAGTCGAGGGCATAGCTTAATATTGGTCAGTAAGCATGCAGAGTTGAAGGGTTGTCTTTTCTGCTTTGCGATACTCACATGTCCTGCTGCCAGTACCCATGATAGGGATCCCCGTATGGGGTGTCCTCGGTTAATTGACCGGTTACAGGGGTGATCCAAATTGCCGTGAAGCCCATTCCTTGGATGTAGTCCAGCTAAGAGATTGGTCAGTTGTGTGATATATGAAGGATTAGAGCGTTACTGACCTTATCTATGATTCCTTGCCAGGTTCCACCGCAGTATTTCTATCCAGCAAGTACAGTTAGCTCTATCTTCATGTCATAGAGTCGATACATAAACAGCAGCTTACTCTATCACTGGTATCGCAAGCAGCAGTAGTCGAGCCATCCGTTCGCGCAAAGCGATCAGTGAGCATGAAGTAGATCGACTGCGATCGCCATTCAGCTGGAGTGGCAGCAATGGCAGTGCCAACCAAGCTGGTAAGCCAAGCAAATCGTGCGAGAACCATCTTGTAGATATTTCAGCACCGATAGCTCAGTAGCAAAAGAAAGGAGAGTCGTTCAGCAACGGGATATTCCAACAAAAGGCGCTGCAAGGGGCTTGATATAAATACCCTAGCAAAAGCCATGCATACAGCGGCAGACGAATAGAAATAAAAGAGACCAATAGCAGTTGAAATCAGACTCCGGGAGGGAGTATGGCTTAAGCCAATAAACGCCAAAAGCCCAGATGAAGATCTTCACGGATGCATCTGCTCAAATGAAAAATAATATCATCTAAATGCCCGTCCCCAGCCACAGCACAATCCAAGACGCAACTAGAAAACAGAAGGAGATAGGTCTACATGGTCTCAAACCCCATAATTAATTCACAGATCATCTCCTGAAACGGAAATCCCACTATCATCCTTCACATCCAACTCGTCAGATCCCGATTTCCCCTCCCAGCCCTGCCGGGAAAAAGCAAAGTTGCAAGACTATAGATGCATGCCTAACCTTGAAATGATTGGCCCTGGTTACAAGACTAGCGCACGGCATGTGCGAAATTAAAATAATCCCCATCGAAGCCCCTGACACGGGATTTGGTCGAATCAGCGTGCGCGGGGACTCGTACCCCAAATTTGCAGGGACGCGGGGATATAGATGGGGTTACAATGGGTGATTGGCTCGTTTGAGATGACGTCGATCTTTTGCTGAGGGAATTTCGGGTTTTAGTCGGGCACGAGGAGATGCTAACGGTCTTGGTATATGCTGCTAGGATGATTTAGGGTATGTACTCCGTTGTATGATAGAAAATCCCAAGGTGACTACTAGAGATGACGTGTGTGGTATGAAGCGCAAAGACGATCTATATTTGGGCTTCATAATTCGGCCCGACATGGGAGATTAGAATCTGTAGATCTTTGAACAGGCTATCTGGGAACGCGATCGGGTGTAGGGGTGGTCATGCCGTTTCTTCTCTACTCAGCTGAGGTGAGGTTATACAGAGTTACCGGTACTTTAACAATAAGTGCTCGGTCTTTAGATAGTAAGGAAGACAAAAAAAAGACAATAAAAGGATATCGCGAAGGGAAGGAGAAAGGATATAACAATAACAGTTCATTGTTGCCGTTAAAAAATAGAGATTCATATGAATCTCACTGCCACTGGAATAAACTATAGAGAAGACAGCCAATTTGCGTGCCAAAAGACCCTATTCCCAATTATCTCCTGAGTCATTCCACAATCTACCACCTACCACTTCAATGTCCAGTTCTCACTGAAAGCACCTTCCTTTGTCAACTTTTGTAAACCACCAATAGACAACACATGCGAGGTAGCATTATACTGCACACCAGAAGCCGGCACAGGAGTACCATTAAACTTGATATCACCAGGCTTCTTAGACACACCGAGAACAGTAACAGTAGCGAGAGGATTCGACTCCTCCCAGCTACCCTTCGACTTGACAGTCAGACTGGAGCCCTTGACGCTGAAAGTAACATCAAGCGTCTCATCCGGAGAATTGCTCTCTCCGTCATCGAGATACAACTGTCCAGAAGCAGCTCCACTGCCACCGAGCGCGACGAGCAAAGACCATGGCGTGCCACGCGCCTCCTTTGTGGTCAAAGCTGGCTCCTGCATCGGCAAGACGCTGCCTCCACGCACGAAAACGGGGATATGGCCAAGCGGGGCGGGAATGGTGGTGTTGACACCGGGCTTTGCGTCCACGGCAGTCTGGGTATACCAGTCATACCAGACCTCGCCATGCTTGAGGCCCGGGAAAACGCCGTTGACGGAGGTAGCTTGTGGGGTGAGCACGGGGACGACCATGATCGAGGGGCCGAGGAGGAACTGGGTGTCGACTGCGGCGAGGGAGGGGTCTGTAGGGAATTCCCAGGCCAGGGCACGCATGACGGTGGAGCCGGTTGTGTGGGCCTCGTGGAAGAGGGTGTAGAAGTAGGGGAGGATTGCGTAGCGAATCTTCATGGCAGATTTTGCGGCGGCTGTGACGGATTCCCAGACGTAGGGCTCTTGCGAGATTGCGGAGAGGGTATTGTGGTTGCGGTAGAAGGGGAAGAAGGCTGATAGTTGCATCCAGCGGTTGCAGAGTTCTTCGTCGGTATTGCCATTGAAGCCGCAGGTGTCGACGCCGAACATGGGAATTCCGAAGAGGGAGAATGAGAGGGCTTGGGGGATGGAGAAAAACATGTATGCCCACTTAGAGGCATTGTCACCACCCCAATGACCGGCCCATTTACCAGAACCTGCGAATGTTGAGCGGCCGATGATGAAGGGACGCTTCTTTTCATCGACCTTCAGCAGGCCATGGTAGGTGGCGTTGAGGATTTGGTGACCGAAGAGGTTGTGCACATCGTATTCTTGAACACCATCAAAGTGAGTGGCGTTCGGGGACACGGCATGCGAGCTGAGATCGTGGCCATCCTGGTCATGGTTGATCACATATGGCGGGTAGTTGATGTTACGTACTCCCGCAGTGGGTGTAGTCCGCAAATAAGAGGTGGACGAAGAGGCAGAGCCGCCAGTTGCGGCGGCGGCAGCAGCCTGGCTGGACGACGCCGCAGACGCAGATGAAGCCTCAGTCTTGTTGCTAACTTCAAACCCTTCCGGATAGTCATAAATAACATTACCAGGCTCTCCAGGAAGGGCGAATGAAGGATGGGATGGGTTCATGCTAAGATTTCCAGATCCGCAGCTGCCAACGCAGAAGGAAGAAACCTCGCTCATATCAATCCAGATGCCATCAATGGCTATTTTCTTGTGCCAGGTGACGATCTCGTTCGCCCAGAAACTGCCTGTCTTAGGATTGTGCCAGTCAGGGAAGACAGTGTAGCCGGGCCAGACAGCGCCGATGTACTCACTTCCATCAGGATTCTTCAAGAAGACGTCATCCTTGTGTCCGCGGGTATATGTGTCATAGCTGAATATAAATCAGCATTGTTTCTGCGGGACAGGCCCAGGGGAACTTACGCATCAGAGGCGTTGTTAGGGTTTGGAATGTAGATAGCTGAGTCTATAATGGGAACATAATGACGGCCACTGCTGTGCAGTTGATCTATGAACTTCTCACCCTCACTGTAGGGATAACGATGCTGATCATTGTCGAAATTGCGATAACCATGCATATAATCAATGTCATTCCTAGTTGTGTTAGAACTTGCTTGAACCACAGAAACGCGCGATGAGTCAATTTACCAGATAGTCTCGAGCGGGATTTCAAACTTATCGAAGTTGGAAACGACCTCTTCAAGCTGAGTCCAGTTATCGTAACCCCAGCGGCACTGGTGGAAGCCGAAAGTAAAGTACTGCTGCAATGCTGGCAAGCCAATGGTGCTCAACTGATAGTTCTTGGTCACATCCGCTTGGCTAGGACCCGAGTAGAAAGTGAGATCAATGCTGCCTCCCAGGGTGCGCCATTTCAGACCTTCAGGATTCATGACGATCTCCTGGCCATGGGCATTTCTAGAAAAGACACCGTGCGAGAAGGAAACATAGTCTTTAGACTGATCGGCCTTGTCACTTGCAACCAGGGTGTGATGACCATTGTGTTCAACTTCATAGTAGCGGGTGTCCAGATAGAAAGGCTGGGAACCGTAAACATTGCTTGTAAGTGGTCAGCATCAAAAGAGCAGTACAATCTAGGGGGAAAATATGTTTGAGGAATGAAACTTACTCATCAATAGGATCACCCATATCCGACGCATATAGAGTCAAAGTGAGATTGTTCAAGAGACGCAGCTGCTGGATGTGCTCTCCGATGCCATACAGGTTATAATCCTTGGGCAATGAGGTAACGAATTCAATGAACTGGTTCTCAAACACCAAGACCGAACCAGTTGTATCAAAGATGGCATCATGGGTAGCCTTGCGGGTCACTTTGAAATGGAAAGAAGGTTCATTCGACCAGGTGATCTCAAGATCACTATGCTTCTTTGAAGCATGATGATCAGAAGTGGGTCGGGGGACGACATGCTCATCCAACACGAACCAAGAGTAGTTCGAAGAATCGAGATAAGTCGGGACAATTTGAACGTTGAGGCGGTCATTAGCAAGGTACTCGATGGAAAAGTCCAACGAGTCTACATCGGTACCATAGGCATTGCATGGCTTTCCGGCTAGGGTCAAAGTAGCGGTCAATCCGCGAGCAGACTCCTTGACATTTGATGCCTTGTACCCGGGACAAACCGACTGCGCGTCGACAGCTTCAGGGTCATCAATATTGGCAATCAGCTGGGCGCCAGCATCGGCGCCAGCTGGAATGGTAAATTGAGAGTATATTCCCGAAGAAGTCGAAGAAGGAACGGTAGAGTGGAAGCCCGAGGCCTCAGAGGCGGAGGTCAAGAAGGCACCATAGGCTGCTGGCAAGAGCCAAGTAGCGGCAAAAAGATTCTTCACACCAACCATGATGACCACTTCCCTATTTTGGTTGTAGAACAGGGGTGATTCTCGATGTTCATGTCCCAGCTGGTTTTTATAGGTTGCTGGGTGTGACCAGTTCGTAGCACTATGCGAAGGAACTTGCAGGAACCTGATGAGGTGTGGAACCTAAAAGAATATCCGTTGATTCACCGATGCAATTACATACTTTCTTTAGGGGCTGAATAGTTCTGTGGGGCTGGTCAAGCGTGAAGCTAAAGAAAGCTGAAATGGCTGGGTGAAATGCGGAGGCCCCTTACGTTGACCCGACATAACGTCCACTACTCCGTAATAGGGCTGTATAACCTACGAAGTACACAAAAGAGGGGTAGGAGTGCGTTTTAGACAATTCTGGTCTTTCATATCCAAACGTTATAAGATAGGTCAATCCTGTCGAAGGTAGAAGGGGATAAATATCTCTATAGACTACCATAAAGATTAATAGGTAGTAAGTGGTAGAAGTGGTATAGTTCGAAATAGAATCCCCACTGTGAATAAGTAGTATCAGCCTTGCCCAGGTGGAATATAATTACTCCGGACCATCCTACGACCTTGGAAGTTCTTGGAAGTCATATAAAGACTGACGATCATGGTAGATCATGCCATTTCAAGCTGGTGATTGGTCAGTTGTCCGATAAATGTCCGTGTTCCATAGTAAAAGGCTACGGAATCCAAGACCCTGAGATTAATATGCAGAGACCCGCTTATATAATCTAATTTCATCATAATCTTATAAATCCTCTAGGTGGCGAGCTGCGGTGAGTCCTTTCTCTCTAGTGGAGAATCGTATAACTACGGGATACCCGGAGGTCCAAAGGCTTTTGGGCCAATTCCGGGACTATTGCAGGAAGATTATTCAACTGGTTAAAGGAGTTTAAAGTAATTCTGGGACTTTCACAGGAATATTGTTCGATTGGTCCACAGTCCATCTCTACGAAACAGTATAAACCATACAAACTATAGCGGAATTATGCACGTCAACTCCCCTGCGTTTGATAGATGTTGTACATAGAAGAAGACAGTGCCCCCTTTATTTTCACACTTTCGGGAAGCCGAGAAGGATACGCGAGGGACCAATCTCGGTACTGGTGAGAGGGGTCCAGGTCCAAAGCTATACCTAAACCAACGAAGCCGTGAAGAAATTGATTGGATCGGGTACAATATATCAACATGTGAAGCGGAGATGAATACTCAGCGCAGCCTAGCGGTGCCCACTCTATACCAAACTAGTTAAAGGGAGCGAGAAAATCCCGCATCTTTGATCTTAGTGTACGAAGTCCCTGTAAATTAGCGCCATAAATATGTTAGGCATCAGAGCCGACTTGGCTCCGTAATGGCCCCGTAGGTACTCCGTACTCCGTACCTGGGCCAAAGAGGTACTTGGCTTCCGGGCCGAGATTTGGGATCCATATCAGTATTGGCATGAGGATCATGAGGAAACCTAGAACGGAGGTAGTAACTAAATGAGTCAACTTTCACGGTGATCATCATGGTGATATTATTTATGTCTTGTATTCTTTATAGTTCGGAGGCTGAGGGGTATGTACGTAGACGCAGAGAGAAGTCGGGCCGAGAGGCAACGCCCCTAGGCCAGAAGAGTAGTAAGAATAGCAATATCCATAAGGACGCCAATGAGAATAAAATCACTATACGAAGCACAATTCTAACGCAGGGGCCTTTGCGGGGGTTTTTCCCTTTTCCTTACCCCCCGCTTCCCCAGGTTTGTATTGCTTTTTTTTATTATAATGGGCCTTGCCAAACTCCCCGGATGGAACCATCGCAACCTTCTTTTATATCTTTCGAACCTAATATGAACTTCAACTCTACCGAGTCTAGCAAAGTCCTAGCAACGATTCAACAATGTCCACCAAGCAATCCAAACCAAAACAGGCATGCGACAACTGTCGCCGTCGCAAAATAAAATGTTCCCGTGAACTACCATGCGACAAATGCCAACGGCTACTTCTCTCCTGCTCCTACAGCGACGTCCTCCGTCGCAAGGGCCCTAAATTTCGTACCCTGTACCCCCTAGCCCCGATCCACCCTCTGTCATCCCGGCAAGACCCTCCTGAGAATGTGTATCCCGAGAATGCCGGCATCGGTGAGATCCCGGACTACCAATTTAACTCGCCGGGATTTATAATCGCAGACTCGCAGTTTGCAGGCCAGGATTTTTCGGATACTTTTCCCCACATACCGCCCCCGGAACTCGTTTCGTCTCCAGGCTCCACGGACTCAACCGTGGAATCCGCCATTGGTTATGGCTTTGGATATGCGAGACCGGCCGCCCGCCGTCTCTCGCCGCAGATTCTGCTCGTTCATGTCAATATCTATCTCAAATACCTGTTCCCTATTATGCCGGTGGTCAGCGCGGACCAGCTCCGGCTGGATTGCCATCAGCCCGGGCAGCTGTCGGCGCAGCGGTATGCACTTTTGGCGTCCCTGTGTGCGGCTACACATATCCAGTTAAAGCTGGACGGGGCCACGCCTGTACCAGATCCTGCCCGTTTGCAGAGTATGAGTATTGGGGATGGGCACTCTTTGATGTCTGGAGAAGAGCTTCTTTCGGAGGCCGTGCGGGCGCGGCTGGATTGTGATGTTTTGGAAGAACTGAGCACAGAGTCACTTTTGACATCGTTCTTTTTGTTTGCCTCGTATGGGAATCTTGACCGTCAGGACCAGGCTTGGTTCTTTTTGTGCCAGGCCACCTCGTTTGCATTCACACTTGGGTTGCATCGCGAGTCAACGTATGCAGAGTATGAGGTTGAAGAAGCGGAGGAAAGACGGCGTGTGTTCTGGCTTTTGTTTATTACAGAGAGGTGAGTAGGTTGATTATGAAGGACCGATGATGTTTTGAACTGGGGCTGATCTGTGAATTGGTAGAGGTTATGCTCTCCAACAAGCGAAGCCAGTTATGCTGCGCAGCTCTATTCACAAGCCTCAGGTCCTTTGCTCCGAAGATCCTATCCTGGCTTATGGATTCATCAACCTGATCAACATCTTTGAGAATCTCACCCCGAACCTTTATGATTGGATCTCCGCCGGTGCCGGAGATAGCATATTAGAGAAACCGCCAACATCTGCCATCCAATCCAATCTGTGCAAGGCTATTTCCCTGGAGGGAGTCCTTGAGATCCAGCAGGTTGATATCTTGATCACTCAACAGTGGCTGCAGACGATGATGTGGAAACTGTCTATGAGCCATGCCACGCAGCCTGGTTCGCACGATGACCCAGTTTTGCCATTTCATCTACCAGTGGTGGTGGGTAAGTCAGTGATGAGCGTGATTGGTGCTGCATCGCAAGGGGCTGTTGATGCGCATGGAATCGGAATGGTAGGTCAAGCCGAAATGAAGTTGTTTGTTCATATACTGACTTGGATATCATAGGAGCAAAAACTCTTTGATCTAGGATCTTCTGTCGCCGATGTGACTAGATCCCTTGCACCAAAAGCCATCCATAGACTGGCCGAGTCGACTATTGATCCAAACGAGTTGCTATGGGGTATACTTCACACGCTTTCTCAGATTCGTGGCTCGCCCTCGTACCTCTTCCCTACATTGCTTGATCGTTGCAGAACCGTTCTTGGACTCGATTGCAACATCACCACGGGAAACTTCCTCCCTATACTCGGTGCTGCTGTGCCGGATCAGTTGGCTTCATGGTCCGGCCAGCATGTCTGGGATTACACTGCCAGTGGCGAGGATATGGAGATCCATGACGTCGATAGCCAAGTAGAGTCAGTTCCTCATCCACATGTGCCGCACGAACTGGGCTTCGAAGATTGTCTCTTGAGATGATTGGCATCTTTGCTAACTGTATTGAATTTGTGACGATGATGTTTTGTTTTGTGATACCAAATGGAGTTTTATAGATGGCTGCTTATGACAGCGAGGTGCAAGAGAATCATAGAACACGATCAATGACTCAATGCATCAAATTCATGGCCATTGTAGTCGATGTACATCGTAGTCGGGAAGGAAGCTCATGTAGCTGATACTCGTGCGCAGAGGCAAATTGTCTTGGCGTGTTTGTTTCGGTATCGAATCTCCAATTTGGTGATCGGCTTCATGCTACTTTCCAAGGTTCTCGTCTCAATTGCTCAGGATATCCTTTATTTGGTAGGATCTATGTTGCTTTCAATGCCGCTTGAAATCCCCCAGTTAACACTTCCTTGCAGATAATCCTCGGGTCTCCGCGCCAACTAAAGCTCACCAGAGCACCAAAACCCCGGAGCCAATTCTCTATTGAACCTCAAATCTCGCCCACAACCAAGACCATTACCTCCGCAATGGCCTCCCTCCGACCCCGTACCCTCCCACTCTCAGTCCGAGCCCTCCGCTCAACCCTCCGCTCAACAAGGCCCTCACCAAACCACTCTTTCTCCGCACCCGCATTCACCCCATCAACCCAAACCCTCCCAACCCGGGCGCACTCAACATCCTCCGTCTCCGCCGATGAACTCTCCCACTTCTCCGGCCTCGCCAGCTCCTGGTGGGACCCAATGGGCCCCTCGCGAATCCTGCACCTAATGAACCCTCTCCGACACGAATTCATCGCCTCCTGCCTAGCAGAAGGAACCTCAAACCCAACCCCATCCACACCCTCCACCGCAACCCTCAACTACCTCGACGTAGGCTGCGGCGGCGGCATCTTCGCCGAGTCCCTCGCACGCACAATCCCCCTCAACCCAACCGCCCCAGCCCCAACCCCAACCCTCGCCGCCTCAATGACCGCAATCGACCCGTCAACGGACCTAATCCAAATGGCGCGCGAGCACGCGCGCATGGATCCCACCGTTGACACGCACCTGCGTACAGGTCGCTTCAAGTACCTTAATACGACGCTGGAGGATGTACTTGCCGGCAACGCTGGCACTCCCACTCCCACTCCCGCTTCAACTCAAACCCAAAGCCCGAATTCCAGCTCTACCTCAACTCAACTTACTCCCCCACAATTCGACGTCGTAACCCTCTTCGAAGTCCTCGAACACATCGACCCGAAAACTTCAACCCCGCTAAGCTTCCTGAAAAACTGTCTGCGCGCGCTCAAACCCGGTGGTTGGCTGATTGGATCTACTATTTCGCGGACGCTGCCGTCGTTCCTCCTGAACCAGGTTATTGCTGAAGCCCCGTGGCCGATAGGTGTTGTGCCACGCGGGACGCATGAATGGAGCAAGTTTGTTAACCCAGATGAGGTAAAGGGGTGGTTGCAGGAGGGGTTGATGAGGGCTGCTGATACGGGTGTTTCGAGGGGTGGGGGTGCAGTTGCGGAGGGGATGAGGTGGAAGTGTGTTGGTGCTATTTATATTCCTGGTATTGGATGGAAGATGGTACCTGGGAGTGAGGATTGGGGTAATTATTTCTGGGCTGTTAGGAAGGAGCTTTAGATGACTTTGAGAGATGTGTGTATTTATATTTGCATTGTTTTGAGCTATTTGTATATTATTTGACTGTTGTACTCATTGCATATCGATATTTCATAACTTCATACATGTATTCATTGACTCGTTCCTAGTGTACTTCAGTACACCTCGCTAAATGCACGTAACCACCCAACCGCCCTATTATAGCAGTAAAAGAATACAACCCTAACCCATTCACCCTCGATCTGAGCAAAGGTAAACGCAACAACTTCCCCTAACCCAGAACTATTTCTTCCCCTTCCCCTTTCTCTTCTTCTTCGAAGCAGCCGGGGGCTCAGGTACAGAAACAGTCCCCTGCTCAACCTCCTCACCCTGCCCCTGCAACCTCTGCGTGCCACTAATGAAGAACGTCAAATCGCGGTTCTGCTCCGCGAGATCTGCATTCGCAACCTTAAGCCCATCAACCTCTTTAGCAAGATTCTCCAACTTTAACAACATATTTCGATTCATAGCCTTCTCCTCCTGGAATCCCTTCTCAAACGAGCGCGCCAGGGCCTCGAATTTCTCCGCTTTTTTCTCCGCACGTGCGCGATCGTGTTCAAGCGACGGCAGCGTCTCAAGTGTCACGGCATCATACTTCGCCTGTAATTCTTCCAGACACGATGAGGCGCTGGAAGCGTTAACCTCCGCCACAGCGGCGGCGGCACTAGCCTGCGATGCTTTATCGACGGCGCGCTCGACGACTTCTTCAAAGTACGCGCGCTGGCTTTCAAGCTGGCTGGTGAGGAGATGTGTGTATTCGATACTCATGTTTTCTAGTTTCTCGCGGGGGACGGCGTCGCCCCAGTCTGGTGGGTCGAGGGCGCTGTGGTCCGCTGCGGGTAGCTCGAGGAGTTTGCCGTCTGTTTTGTTTTGAATGATGCGGTGGACGTAGGCGTCACCTACATAGTCCCATACGCGCTGAGAGGTGAGGTCCATGGAGAAGGCGTGGGCTGTTTCTTTCCAATGGGCGAAGGCGTGGGCGTTGTCGTAGCGGCCGCAGCCGATCGTGCCGCAGATTAGACAGGCCCAGAGGTTTTCTTCTGAGTGGCAGATGCTGCATTCTTGGGGCTCCTCGTCTGGTGCAAGGGCTGCGTTGCTTTTGCGATAATCGTCTTGTGTGTATCGGCAAACGGGGCAGCCACTGCCTTTCCATTTTTGGAGACAGGTGCAGTGGAAGACGTGTTGGCAGTTTATTGTTAGGAGCCCCGTAGTTTCGTCCATTCGTTCTAGACAGACGGGACAGGTCGGTAGTTCGATAAGTGCAGGGGTAGGTGGTGCGAGAGGTTTGCCGCTAAGAGTTGCTTGTCCGGTAGAGGACACCGGGGGTCGAGAAGGGGTCGAGATGTTGGAGGAGAGGGCGCCATATTCAGCAGATGGTGTTTCGGCATCCACAACTTGGATTTCGACCGTTTTGACAAAAACAACATGGCAGGTTTCGGGCTCGATGCTATTAAACACATGGCCATTCCATTCCTTCTGCCACTCTTTCGCCTTCCGCCCGCTCCGGAACTTCATCAAAACCATGTACCGATTCGCGCGCGCAGTCCTAATCATCCGGAAATGACTGACATCATCCATAGTCTGCTGTCCCATGAACCCCAAGAAGTCCACCGGCGACAGATAAGACGGCACAGCGAGTATACAGAGTGTCGTACAATCCTCATCAGGACTTTGCGCAGAGGAAGAACTTGTCTCAGGAAAAGGATATTCGGCAAGACCCGCTGCACCGGGTTGTTTAGCACCCGCCGCACCTGCTAGACCCTGCCTCAACGTAGCCTGCTGCTCGACGGGCTGGCGGGCCGCAGCTGAGGAGCCCTTCAGGTAGGCGGGGTATTCGTCATCGTTTCCGAGGTAGGGCGTCTCCTGCAATTCGCGGTACAGATGTACAATTCCCCAGACGCTTTCGGCAAGCTCATAATCGAGTGGGATGTATCGGCCTTTTGTGCGGAGACCGCCTAGAATGTCGGTACCGATACCTGCGGCGACGAGGTTCTCTGGTTCTATGGAGGGCACGGAGCCGCGCTTTGAGCTGCGTTTGGGCTGATGCTTTGGGGTGACCATGTCAATGCACTCGATGGAGACAGCGCCGAAGCGCTTGTCGTCTTCGAGTGGGGTTGTGCTGGCTGAGGAGCTAGTAGAGGATGTATTGAAATCGTAAGAAGTGTTGGCGGAGGTAGTGGTTCGAGGTGGGGTGGGTGCGATTTCGGTGGAGAGGGTGGAGATGAGTTTCTGGCGATGCGCCAAACTCTGGTCTGGGTTTGGTGGGGTTTGATTATCTCCTAGGCGGCTGGAGGTTGAAGGCCGGCTCCGTTGTTGGAATGGTTGGAGAGCTTCCCATGCGGACTGTAGTGCGAAGGAGGATGATTTTTGCGAGCTTGGCACGTCAGATCGACTGTGGGAGAGGAGTTGCAAGCTAAGGTGATAGAAGTAGGCGGGCATCCCGGATGATGGTTCGCATCCTCTGGAGCTTGCGACTTGTGGGTGGAACTGTCAAAAGAGGAAGTCGTGTTATCACGATAAGGATATGTGATTACATAACATTTGAATATCGACCACTTCTACGCCTCCGCCACAAGTGGTTCCTGGCACGCGAGAGTGGCAAAGAGGCAAAAAAAAGGATAGATATTCCTAGCGCGTTTTGACTTGGAGGCGTGGTGGCGAGAACTGGTGTGGTTGAACAGTATTGCCTAGATGAGACTTACACATGGAATATGCAGATGGGTCTACGGTGTCATACTGGTGGGATAAACATGCCTGCACCGATAGCATTCATGCACCATGTCTTGTCAATCAACACTGTCTACCTACAAATGTATTACAATGAAATGGCATGCTAGGGAAAGACTAGCAAATGTTGCTAGAGTTAATTGCAGAGAACTATCTACCACATATCAATGAGGATAATGTGGGTAAAGTAAAAGAGAGCAGCCGTCCTCAGGAAACACATTGCAAGAAAAGAAGCCTCAGCCTCGAAAACCACCAAACGCCATGCAGGTTATGAAGAACCTATCGAAGTTGAAAAAAGAATCGTAAATTACTGGCCGCCACGCAGACGCAACACCAGGTGGAGAGTGGACTCCTTCTGGATATTATAGTCCGAGAGAGTACGTCCGTCCTCCAGCTGCTTACCA